GACTGTGAATAAGAATTAGAGACACCAGTATCGGGTTCAGGAGGGGTGGATGGTGGGTGGGGTGTTAATAATAGTCCTTTGCAATGATTGAGATGACTTTACTTTAAAAAGCAAAACAAGTAATCTGTTACAGTTTTATAATTAGTCAAATTTTGGGAAATTTGCATGAACATTCTGGAGAATTTTCCAAATTGGTCAGGAAATTTTGGCAACTTGTGTGGGAATTTAAGTGAATTTCTTTGTACCATTTTGTACATTTGTACATTTTTGTGCAAACTAGTCAAACTTTCTGAAACTTTGATGGAGATTTTCATATAACTCATTAAAATATTTAGGAAACTTCTAGAAATCTGTGGAATTTTTGTCGAAACATTTCATGGGATTTTTTGGACATATCTATGAAATTTCTAGGGATTTCATTGAAAACATTGTGTATTTTATGGATATTCTGGAGTATTTTTGCGAAAACTTTCTTTGAAATTTTACAAATTTTCATGGAAGTTTTTTTAAACTGGAGTTTCTTTTTAGATTTTTTGTGAATTGTCAGAAATGTTTGATTCAATTTTTGTGAATATTTATCTCATATTTAAGGATACGTTGACATTTTTGGAACCTTTTGGAAAATGATCACTAGATGGTGCCAAACATGACTGATGACTGACAAAATCAAATTATCTGGAGAGATATTGAAGCTGTTTGATTTCTGTTGATCATTTTAATAACTTTTAACCCTAAATGCCTGACTAGCATTGAAATAGATTACTAGTTCCAACCCCATTTCGACCCCTGCTTATCATGTATGTGAAATTTGGAGAAATGAATGCCATGGCCTAATATCTTTCAACTAAAGCTCAATATTTAAATAACCTTGTTCCTGTCCTGAGGAGTCAAGGTAAATATTAAATCAAGTTTCATACATTAACCTCTATGGGACCCCTTGTTAAAAATGTCAATGATGCAATATGGAGCCATTTTATCAAAGTCCTACAAAGACACTTATAATGTCACATTTTTTGCACAAGTTTGGTGAGTTTTGGGGCATGTTAATGCTGCCAAATATACTAATTACTTAGGAAGAAAAAGAAGACGAATTCCTTGCATTCTAGTAGGGTACCCTTCCTTAGAGAAAACTAAAGAGCAGAACCAACATGTGAATATGTGATTTTGTTGGAAACTACACAGGAAAAATTGTCAGACAGTAAATGGTTTTGTCACAGAGCAACGTGGTGCAGATTCTGAACCTAAACAAATCAAGAACATAGTCACTAGATAATATTCATATAGTTTTCATTTACACGAGGCTGGGGTCACACTGAACTGATGAATCTCTGAAATGTTAATTTTTCCCCTGGTGAACTCCTCAGGCTGTTGCTCTACACGCTGGACATATCCGAGGTCTTCAGGTCTTTGTCTTTACAGAAGGAGTCTAAACAAGTTCGGGTTGCAATCATAATCCAATCCTTTTACTTTGTTCTTGTTCTCAGACTGGAATGTTATTACAATTATTAAATTAAATAATATTTAGTTTCATCCAAAATGTGTGCAACAGGGTTCAAGCTGAGTGTCAACCTTTTTGTAAACTGAAACTGTATTTTCCCACAGTTAGGTTTTGTGTCTCTCAAACCAAATGACCTCAAGTGCTGTGTAACACTTGAACCCTTACCTGCTGTTTTGTAAAATGTCGTCATAGTAACCATGTTTATGAGAAAACCATTTGTTACACACATATCTTACTGATAGGTGTATAAGCCTATAATGATGGATTTTGAGGTGTTTAAATGACTTACAGAGAAATATTTAAACCTGAGAACACATTAAGAGCTTAAATAAAATGAAAAAGATATACATGTATTGTTAGCTGTTATTAAAAAGATGCTCATTTACACATTCAGCCGTTATGAGCAAATACTCTTTCATTTGGTCATGGTGAATGTAAGGCCTTTACTTTCCTGTTATCTATTTCCAGGGCTAAACGCTCCACTTCGTTCTTCAGCTAGCTGTTTAAACACTGAGCAAGTTAGTAATCATCTTTCCAACCCAGTGGTGTTCTTTTTGTGGTGGTATTGCTAACCAGAGATGGCCACCATCTTCTCTGTCTTCTCTTTGGGTCGACAACACTGATGCCCCTGCACAGACTGGGAAACATAAATGAATGTATGACTCTTAATGAGCCAATTAGCTCACTGGGTGGCAGTAGCTCAGTCTGTAGAGAGTTGGGTTGGTTCCCAAGCACTGCTGGGGTGCCCTTAAGCAAGGCACTAAACCCTCAACTGCTTGGATGCTCTTTTATGTGCAGCCCCTCACTCTTACATCTCTCCATTTGTGCATGTCCATACAATGCTGTTTGCGCATCTGTTTGTATTTCAGCCTACGTGTGTGTAGCATGTCTCAACAAAAGAGTGTAAAAGTAATTTCCTATCATAGGTTAATAAAGAATATCTTCTTCTTATCTTGAGATAAGACAAGACAAGATAAGATACTATACCACAGCACATTCATACATCAGTAGAACATGACAATTTATGCCATTGGTTCCCAACCTGGGGTTCAGTTCTCAATTATAACAAAATTACTAGTTTATTCAAAGGTCAGTAGATAAAACTGTTTGAGAAAAACATGTTTCCTCACTCAGGAATAGCAGGCTACTTTGTCAGCCACACTTGTAATTCAGGTAATGAAATCAATTTAAATGTACAGTATGTCAATTTGACTGAAATGTATCACTTTTCTCTTGTGGGACCTGGGGGAGCGCCTCCTATTTCAAAAATAAGTAAGGGGGATTCAAGCTTCAAAGCTGGGAAGCACTGCTTCACATCATTGTCTGATATTTGCATGGAAAATTCCCCATAAGGCCAAGAGGTTCAATCCAGCAATGAGTTAGCAGCCACTCCCCATAATATGCTGCACATTCTTCTGCAAAGTTGGGCCTTTTAATGTGTCTTTGTATGAATTGACTGATTTATGGAGCCTGCCTCAAGTGGCCCCTCTAGGAATAACATTTAGCTGACTTCCTCCTAGATATGAAGTGCTCACTCTAAACACTGACAACAACATGTCCTATTCTTGCAGCTGGCCTTTCTGGAGAAGTGAGTTCATGAAAGGAGCCTTACCCATCGTGGTGTTTAATCATGAGTCACCTTTCTGTTTCACTGTACGTGTTTTAGCCGACTCCAAAGCTTTCCTGTGGTCAGCAGGATTATTCCCCTCATTTCAGCCCCTCCTGCAGTGACCACGATAATTCATGAGAAACTTTTTTTTTTCTTTGGTCGAATGTTGCCTCTGGTGATTTTACATCACTTCTCCCCGCCTTCCAACAATCGGATTTCAGTGCCTTGAGTAGGTTGGACCTCCGCCTCTCGAGCTCCCTGTAAGACCAACCATGTGACTACACTCTGGGCAGATTTGAAACCCAACCTGACAAGAGCTTTTTCTTTTCTTCATGCAAGTCCCTGATTAACCGATGCAGAGGAATATACAGTATGCTGTCCATCCTTTTCTTAACTCACATGTCATTTCACTGTGACTAAAATACTTCACGTAGCTCAGGGATCCACAAATCAATCACCCACTACTCACTTTCCTGACTGAAATTACATAAAGTGAAGCAATATCTCAACTGCTCAAACATTAAGTAATGAAAATGTTGTACTGTTTGTGTCATGCATGCATCCAGTATAAAAGATCACATGTCCTACAGGCCAGACACAGAACCTGTCAAACAATCACAAAGGTCCACACATACTTATTAAAATTCTAAGAAAATACTTAAAATGCCTAGAAATAGCCTAGTCTAGTTTCATCCAGAGGCAACATAATGTGATTTAAGTTTATTGATCCAAATATCTTTTGTCTTAATTTATTCCCATGATGAGAAATTAGACCTTCATAATTACATTAGACTGACAGTGATTTATTTTTTTATGGATCAGATATAGATATATCATATAGTCTACTAAAGATAAAATACTCAAAACAAACCAGGGTTGTTTTATACTCAGCTAGGTGAGAGGGTGTGTTAAAAGGCAACATCACCATGAGGCTGTTTGGAGGAGGTAGGTTTAGCTCATAGATAGTCCATGGAAGCTGCTCATGGTCGTGAGTGAGGGGCTTTTTCTGTGAATCAGTTCGCACTTCAGTCAGGGAGGTTCGCGTGTGACAGCGCCAACCTTTCTCCACATTCCACAATGAAAGAGTTGTGTCCCTACATTGTGATTTAGGTCATCACCAATTCACTGCCCGTTTTGTGGTATTTGAAAGATGTCCAATCTCCTGGGTTGGCATAATCACCCCATGCTTGTTTCCATGGAAAGCGGGGCGAGCAGGAACCTCCTCTATGCGTGTTCCCAAAGTAAATCTCCACTTTCCGGAGGGCTGAGCTGAGGGGGGTTGGGAGGTAACTTACGTTCATCTCTCTGCTCGCAGTGAAAGGAGCAGGAGTTTCACGCGCTACACACCCACTTAACCCACAATTAACCCACTTTGCTCCAATTCTGCAAATGCTGAGACATCATGATTGTGTGACCAGGCTGGAAATCTGGAGAGGTTAATTCGGATAACTCCTCCCAGCTTTGCCATTTATCGTATTAATAATCACACCACTTGTGCGTCGCCTTAAAAGTGGGAGGGCTGCTAGAGAGCGCCGGAAAACCGCGAGGAGCTGTCTCCGTTACGCGTGGTGCTGAAAGTGCCACTCGCCGCATCATGTGGTCCGTCTTCTTTGTCTTTCTGTCTTATCTGGACAGAAACTTTGTCAGGGGAGACTTTCTGAGCCTCGCTTTGGATGCAGAGAAGGAGAGCAAAGTAATGTTCTCCATGCTCAATGGCACCTTTTGCGCAAAAATGTCAACCGTGCGGGAGAATTTCCTCTACCAGGTGTCAGATGGAGCTGAGGCGGTGCGCTCATTCGTGAGCCCCGCCGGGAGGCTAATGAACTGCTCCGTTATAGTGAACCAGGTTCAGGTGAAATCGTTCATGCACGAGTGTAGAATGGGACTGAAAGAACAGAGAGCCGGGCAGGGAATGGATGCGCGTTTTGCACGCATGGAGGAAGCCAAAATGATGTGCAAGGAGTTTAAAGAAAAGTCGGAGTGCGGGGGAAGAATAGAAAAGGATGAAAGCGATGACTCTGCGCTGCAGGACCAGGTTTTAAAGAGATCCAAGAGAGGCTTTACTTATCCGGGGACCTGTGGTGTGGAGCTGGAAACATGGCTGATAATTACGACCAATTGGGTAGGTTAAATAATGTTAATATTTAAAAGCAGATAAAATAATGATAATAAAATGGATTTATAATAATAAAATGATAAACCGGTTTCTGGTCGTGTTGCAGGAGAGTTTGCAGAGACCGATAGCTGCTGCCGTATCCATGACCACTGCCCGCATGTCATCCACGCCTTCTCCTCCAAATATGGCTACACCAACTTCAAGTGGCACTCTATCTGTCATTGCGACTGTGATAATGCGTGAGCACAGAAACTGCTTTTCTTTTCTAAAAGTGAACAGAATTTTAGAAAATGTCAGAGCTTGCATACTCACATTACATTTACTGGCATTATGTTGAATGAATAGCTGTTTAGTTAGTAACTCATAAAGAATTACATTTTGCATTGGCCATCAGTTTCAGGAGGTTTAAAGGCATAATTCACTTTTTAATAATATTCCCAACAGTTAGAATTCTTTAAAGACACTTCTCTTGAATCGTTCTGTGAATAAAAAAATGTTGCAGCAAGCTGCAGCTTTAAAGTCTATCCCATTTTATTTTGGGATCACTTTTAAAGATGTAGTCATGGGTTCTCCTTTTGAGATTTTTGCTGCCAGATGAATGACTGTTCTGCTCAGCTTCTAGGAGAGATACTTAAGCTTTTGAGACAAATGAAGGCAGGCGTGTTTCCAGAGCTGCTGGTCAAAAAGGCCTAATACAACTTAAGGTCTAATAAATTTGGATTGAATGACAGCTGGGTAGTTGCTAAAGCATTATATCCTACAGTATATACATATAAATGTTTCCATAGCCTGAAAGAGTGAATTCAAATGAGGCTGAATATTTGATGTCTCTTTCTCTCTCTGTAGGTTAAAAACTTGTCTCAGGAGAGTCAACGACACGTCTTCCAGGGTTGTTGGTCAGGCGTTCTTTAATGTCATTGGTGTGCCTTGTTTTGAGTTTGCCTTTGAAGAGCAGTGTGCTGAGCGGCACTGGTATGGCATGTGAGTATCAGTGGACTCCTGGGTTAAACTTATAAGTAGATTTGCAACATATTGAGCTGTACTACTTTCTGAAACCACCGCTCAAACCCAACCTCTCGCTCTCTCATAGGTGTAAACGATACCAGAAGTTTCCCATTGCTGTTTTGGAAGAGGCGGTGCCATATGACTTTGGGGGTATTGACGTCATCGATGAGTTGACACTAGCTCCTCCCAAGAGTGTAGAGTCCAAGAAAAGCCCTGAAGAAGAGAAACTCGAGAGTACAACCCAGTCTGCGATGTCAGGCCCTGAAGAGCCTTCACTCAGAAACGTTGTCACCGCCGCTGAGGACTTCATCAAGGTCCTCGCTACCGTCTCCACCTCTCAAAGCTCCACCACCGAGTCTGATAAAGCAGAGACGCAAAGCTCAGAGAAGAAGAAGAGGAAGAACACAGGGAAGAAGAAGAAGAAGAAGACCAAGAAGCAGAAAGGAAAAGGGAAGGGAAGGAAGAGAAAGCAGAAAACAGAGACAGGTGTTAAAATAGACGAAGGAGCTGCAGTAGCCACCTCTGGCAACAAAGCAGAAGACACCATAGCTATGAGTAACTTCCTCAGTGAGGCACAGAAACACGACCAGTCAAGTAGAAACACTAAAGAGCGGGTGATGGGGAATATGAGCTGGGAGAAAAAGAAGAGCCGTCCAATGAAGTCATGAAAGATGAACCAGCAATAGATAAGGAGACTGTTTCCAATTCAACACCTCCAACAGTCCAGAAGAAACTCGTAGATTCAGACACTGAAGCGCTTACCGAGTCCTCAGATCAAATCACCTTTTCTACGAGCACCACAACAATTATTCCACAGAAAGCCAAAACCAGAAGGCTTTGGAAAGGGAGGCGCAAAAAGGGCAAGAAAATTCCTTCCCCTGAGAAGCATGTAACTAACACAACAGACAACTTAAGAACCAATTCTGCCCCCTCCACCATCACCATAGCCCCACCATCAATGCTCCAACAACAAAGCACTGGGAGTGACACTGAGAAGCGACCTGTCTCCAGCACTGCCACGACTCCCATTGTTATCCCCAAAGTAAAAAGAAACAGGTCAAAGGAGAGAGGACACAGAGAGGGGAGAAAAAAAGGGAGGAAAGTCAGCCCGGCTTCTCCCATTGTGACCCATGAGAATTTCTCTACGGACAATCTGAAAGTGATCCCTCTTACCGGGGCTCCAACCATGTCATTGCTGCCCACGACAGAGCAGCAGGTTTCACACAGGCTGGACATTTATGGTGGCAAGATGAGTGTACAAGGCAGTGTTTTGAAAAGACAAAAATCAAAAGGAAGAGGACTAAAAAGCAGGAGGAGGAAAACGGTATTACCTCTATCAAGTGAAAACCCACTTTTTCACAACAGCTCAGACAATTTGCTTGCTGTTCTTCCACCTCTAGGGACAGGCAATGCTCTGGACATCCTTGCAACCACTGCAGTAATTAACAGGCCCAAAGAGGTAACAGAGACTTACCATGAATGGAGGCTTTTTGCTATCACAGCGGCCCCTTCTGTCATTACAAAAACACACAAGCAGACATTGAGACAGCAGAGAAAGCAGAGAAAGAAAGCTTTGCGGTCTTTTCTTAGCGATGGCATGTCTATCCTTAAACAAACTGAGCAAACACCAATGACATTTACAACCACGCCATCCAAAGCCACCACTAGTGCAGAGCCCTACCTGCAGCCATCTGGAAGACCCTCCAAGACAACCTTAGCAACTCCTGTTATGAGTCCACTCCAGTTATCTATTGAAAGAGCACAAGCACAATTCATCAAGAAGAAGAGCAGAAAAGCAGCAATGTCTGTTCGTCAACATTGAGCCATGAGGTGCTTGCTCCGCAGGCTAAACAAACCTAGTTGTTTAAGCTAACTCTTGTCGATCACATAAGCTTGCAATATATGACTTGTCAAATTATTTACAGTGTAATCTATATCACAGAAATGGGCATAAATCATATTTAATTTTGATGTGAGAATCACGTTTTGTAATACCATAAACTGCATGTCTAAAATAAAATTTGCGAATGATTGTGAATGTATAGAGCCTCTGTTTGTACTGTTAATAATCAAGACATCACTTTTTTTTTTTAAAGAAAGGTAGATTTGGAATTACGCTTCTTCTTGATTTTCTTGCTGAGAGTTCGAAAATATCCACTTTTGTCCTCCATTCTAAATGTGAAGCCTCGAAAGTGAAACAACGACCATTTTGCACTTTGGTTTTTGTCCGTGCTAAATAAATTAAATCCGATGTGTAAAGCTTAAGAGGGCGTGCTGGGTAGATGTTGGTCATTTTGGACTGAGCTAGATGTTTAACCCTGTGAACTACCATTGGAACTAGTTTAAATTGTACCATCGAAAAAAGAGTGATGTCAATACTTTACTCTGTTACTAGCTATCATAGATGTGTTGATAGATGAATTAGATCATTCACAAACATATCACATTTCATTGTTATCTCAGACTTTAATTCCTTGTAATTAATCATGAGGCGGAAGTTCAGTGGCTTAAAGATAACCTGCTTAACCTGTTTTCATTTTTTTGTGAACCTTAACCTTCAAACTGTGTTCGTAAATCATGCCAAGGAAATTCTGCTAGTGTATGCACAGGTGTTCTTTTGTTTGAAGTGGACTCAGGCTTTGGCCTTATAGTTTCCCCCTGTGTGGTTTAAAGCAGGGTCACATTCTCTGCACAGATTAGGCGATCACTTTGCACATTACTTTCACCTTTGACCCTCAAGGGTTGGTTGTAAAACCCAGTGCAGAGGCTGAAAGGCTCCTGGTCAGCTGATTCTCACATGATTGCATAAGAGCGAGTTAATCTGGATGAGGTGGAAAAGATGTGGATGTCCGAATTAGATCTTCATCACATCAGGCACATGTAATATGTATTTTGCTACGTCCAGGAAAGATTCTTCAGTCATAGTGAAGAACATCTGATAATCTTGTGCAGAGCTTGCAAACAATGGGAACTGTGCAACAATGAAGACTTTCATGCTGCAGCTCAAGTTCCCAAACTTTTTGGAGGACACCCAAGCATTCAAAGGAGCTTGGCATTCAGATACGATCATGAGCTGAAACTGCAGAGCGACTAACACAGTTGGATGTGTGATAAGACCATTTTTTCACAGGGAGGGAAAAAAGTGGCAGGAATTTTCCATTACATTGCAAGACTGTGAACTCAGGGAACTTCAGCTTACAGATCACAACTGAAGTTCTTCATGAGAAATATCAACAAAATAATAAATAAGAATAAGAAGACCTTTAATTACTTGACAGAGAATATTATCTTAATCAAAAATGATTTTGTTTTTTATTTGACCCACTAATGCTTACCTAAATACTAACATTAACATCTAACATAAGAAAAGAAAACATAATGCATGTATCTATGTAGCTTATGCTACTTTGGTCTGCCCAAATCAGCATTTAAGTGACCTAAAGCAGAAACACACTCACACATCTGCAGGTTCCCTCTAAGCAAAAATTGACCTAAAAAATGACCCGTTTGCTGGCCAGACCCCTGTTTGTGAGTGTGTAACGGTGCCGAAGACCCCTCTTATGTAGGTACGCATACTCACACACACACACAGGTAAACATGATCTATAGTATGTGTGATAATGAGAAGACATCACGGTCTGTGGCATCCTATTAGGAATAGAATTCAATATCCCATTATGTTCACCAACACAGCAGCAAATCTATTGATTTAAAGGAACTAACCTGAAGTAGTTTAATTGGCTGGTGTGGCACTGATGGATGAGGAGAAGGAATGCTGGGCTTCTGCTTTTGTTTCTGGAATAAGAAGCAAGATGGCTCATAGGAAGAAGACAATCATGGTCCTCCTAGAACTTTATTCATGAAATAGAACTAGCAAAGGAAGCCATACATCTGCCGATCTGCTAATTTTGTCTACGTATAATATGTATTTTCTTTCTTTCTTTCTAATTTTCATTTTATTTCTGTCAGGTGACGATGGCTAAAACTAACCAAATTCTCTGACACACATTTTCTGTTTGGGTGTGAGGAGGAGTCTAGCGTGTAAAGCCATAAGAGGTTGTGTGCCAAGTGCTTTGCCAGCAATTCCAATGAAGGCTTTGTGTAAAAGGATGTTCATTTACATCAGAAAGACAGTAGATGGTGGTTGGCTACCCGGCTAACCTTGGCATTGAGTACACTGGACTGGAAACTGAGCAGCTTTCTGCAGGCAGGACCGCAGAAGGAGACGACAGCTTGTATTTCACCAGGACCACCTCTGTGGTCTTGTACTCACTAAAACCTTGTCCATCCTTGTTAGGGGCTCTGTCTGGTTGTATAGGTCTCAAAGTGTAACATGGGTTTGCTGTTAGCTGTAGCTGGACAGATACAACATTTGACAAAAGGAAACAACATTGCTAAGAATGTTGAAAGCACTGATGGGTTTAATAGTGTGTCGTTTTAAGAGGATATTGGGCTTTGGGATGTAGAGAACACATACATTCCTCTTAGCTTAACCCGATGACTGGAAACAGGTGGTAACAGCTAGCTAGGCTTATTCAAAATTAACAAAATCCACTTAAAAAAATATCTTAAGCTCTCTAATCAACCCATTAGATCTCGTTTGTTTATGTGCAAAAACCAAAGTGTTAAACAGCATGATGTTGTGGTTTCAAACAAAAGGCTGCTCAGGAACACTGAACCATGGAAATAAACGATTGTAGAGCCATAGATTGGTCCTCTTTGTGCAAAATGCTAATAGTGTCTTTAAATGTCAACACAATGGCAATGTAACAGTGCCAAGATTAATTAGCTGACGTGTTTGCCATGTTCAGAATCTAAGTTCAGCTTGTTAGCATGCTAACATTATCCTAGCTGATAGGCACTAAATGTACAGCGGAGGCTGATTGGATTAATTTTCTGGTCATAAAAGTATTTGATGAGTTAAAAATGTTTGACCTGATGGTGCATCCTATTATGAATTTAAGGGATCACAAAAGTTATGACAACTAGCCTGAACCTTAGAGGCCTTTGCCCCATATAGTTTGGCGAGCTGCTTAAAGCTATTCATTCTAGACCAAGGAGCAATGTTGCTAGCATAGCTAAAAATAAATGTGTTAACATTATCTGTTAACAGTCTGCCATCTTCTTTATTTGTCATCTTGTCTTGTCATGGTGTAATTTGACAGTGTGGAACAAAAGTTGAACTGCTCTTTTAAAGTAGACTGTAGAGACAATGAAGAAGGAGGGACTTTAATGTGGTGCTTGAAATATTGTTTTTTATTTTATCCTGTATAGATCGAACAACCTTGTTAACTCTTCCTAAAGGTCAAATGATAGGATACAGAAAGCCTGGCACCAAATAACCAAAGTGTAAATGGAGAGGCCAAGAAATGAGATGTTCTTAAAGGTGGAAAAGAAAAGACCAGAGCAGAGAAACCGAGCACCGATTACCTAACCATCATCATATCACACTATGTTGTTTTGTGATGAAGACAATAGATCTGGTTTTGACTTCGTAAAGTTTGTGTTGAAAAGATATCACTGATGCATAAAACACACTGATCCCTTCACTCATCTTCAAGTAAATAAATAGTCATATTAGAAAGCAGAGACCAGATGATGATTCACTCTCATTGACTGAGTTTTCATGTTAAGACTTGGCATTGAAATTCTCAGAAATTGAAATTTTCTGCATTTAAATTAAATTGTGTCTTTGGTAAAATGTAATTTCTTTTATTTTTATTTTTTCCCCCAGATGCCTAAGAAGGGTCCCTATGTGAATCATAAACCCCAAAGTACTAAGTTGTTTTGAAATATTTTATTTTTGGGCTTTTAGCCTTTATTTTATATGAACGCTAACCTCTAGATCATCTGCGCCCATTATGAAAGAGATACACAGGGTACCCTGAAAGGTATCCATGAGCCACTTCAGTGACATCTACTGGACAATGCAGGACAGTATCTGCGTGATTTATTCTTTTCATTCACTCATATTTTCACTTCACATACACATTCAATTCAGTTGGTAACAGTAAGATACAAGAAAGATGTATAATATTATTAGTTTCTATTTCTAGTTATAGTTGATACATTTCCCAGGATAAGACCTGTGGCTCTTCTTCACCTCAGAAAAGTATTTGTTATTGACAGACATTTGAGGTTTTTTTCATTCACATTAAACTATTAGTATTTTTGGATACTGTAAAAGTATTTTGTGAAAAACACCTTGACACTTACTTACTTGCATTTTGTGTTGACTGGTGGCCTCCTTCAGGTGGTTTTTGATCACTGGCTCATCCAAACTTCTTGTGGAAGCTCCGGTCACCAGAGCCACTCAATCACAACCGGTACACCTGTTACCTGAAAGAAACACGAAACACTTCACAGTTTCATAAAGGGAGCAGCGAGATTAGAAGTAGAGCCGAGCGCGAGAGTCTGCAGTCAGGTGTTGATAAACACAGCAGCTCTACCTCATTGGTATAATAAGGAGGTGGGACCCTGTTTTGGTTTATTCCCATTGAAGGTATTTAGTGGCACATGAAGCTGATGAAGTCAGGAGAATCTTTTGACTGTCTGTATATTAAACAGTCAATAATGGAAGAATCCAAGTGCACCTGTTGCCATTGTGACCCAACCTCAGATAAGCAGAAGGAAACGGATGGATGAACTGAAAAAAAAGATTGTAATAAATATGTCAAATTGTTTAATTCAGACCAAACAAAATAACTGGGAGGTCTAGCTGCCTACCTTTACACACTTTACCCATGCATCGTTTTTTTTCATCGTATGTGATTGTGCCATGATGTGTCATCTAAAAGCTATTTCAGTGACATTTAGTGGACACTAAAGGAAAGTTTCTTGTGATCTACCCTTTTTAATCATATTTCCATTTCCCTACTTCTAGTGAAGTTCCCAACATCGAGCAGACAAGATCGAATCAAGGATCAAGAGCAACAGATTCATATTCAAATGAGACTTTTTATTCTGTTAGTGCAAAATGACAATACAAAGCCAGAGATTAAGTTCACAGATGTAGAAAATCGGTCAGATTTAGAATTTGTCAGCCGTGACATGTTGCACTACTATGATACCTGCTCCACAGGTCGCATCCAGATGTCTCCAATCTGAGAAAAAAAACAATAGATGTAGGTTATCTCATGATGGGTAAATTACTGATAATGCAACAGCAAAGGAGCAACAACGGTTGAAACATGTAATAAGCCACTGTAATAGAGCACCACATTAAAATAACGTGAGGAGGAAAACCACACACCTGCACATGTGGGGGGGCACTCAGGACATATGTGACTGAGTTTGCAATGTCAATGGCTTCCAACGGCTGTAAGAGAATAGTGCAGAGTGATAAAATATGCATTTAATGTTATGAGCAATACTCTAAGAAGGGAGGAAGAATGTGTTCACCTTTAGTGTAGAGAGAGGAGCAGCAGCTTTTTCAGGATTGTCACTGTAGAGCCGTTGAAAAAATTCGGTCTCCACAAGACCGGGAGAAATGCACTGCAAAAAAAAAAAAAAAGGGTTCATCATAAACATGTTTTTATTGAACAATGCAGTGTTGAACATGTTGGGTGATACTTGAGATGAACAGTGCTGAAGTCTTACTGTGGCTCTGATGTGGGTCTTCGCCTCACGCAGCTCCTGTCTCAAACCCTCCGTCAGGGCCGTCACAGCGTACTTGGTGGAGCTGTAGAAATGCGAGTCAGGATTTTGAACCACACGATGTCCGCTCATGCTGAAACAAAAGAATATTTACACATATTTACATAAACCAGATCAGCACAGCCATTTAGCTAAAACACATGTATTGATTATAACAGTCCCATGTGCTAATTGACTGATTGATTGAATAATAAGTTGTGCAAACAATTCAATCCCGCAAAACTCTATTAGGAATAAAACTGTAACAAGTTGTCAATCAACGACTACAAAGTGATTATACTTTGAGGGGTCGTTCCACATTCTGGACAGAATCTTTGTAAGTTGTCTCTTTTTAGAAGTCAACTGCAAATCTCTCAGTCAAACTTGAACATGTTCAATAACCTTACATGATGAATGAATAAAAGTGTATACCTGTTTATGTTGATGATGTGTCCGTCATCCACATTTCTTTCTTTCATTGACTGATATGCTTCACGTGTGCAAACACACAATCCAAGAACATTCACCTGCAGGAAAAGATCGGAAAATTTACGAAAAAGTCTAGAGATTAAAACGTGGGATAAATATGTAATCGTTTTTAATCTGTCTGTGAAAAAGTGTCACACCAGTTCTTTGGTGCAAACAGAATCTCCCTGTTCTCTCTTAAAAGCCTTTTTGTGTATTATTCAAAATTATATCAGATATTTTGTCTAGAATCATTTGTATATATTTTTATTTTTAAATCTTAATTTTCTTTTCAGATATTAGCTAATGTTAAACAGTATTGGTTATGTATGAAATTATTAAAGGTTACAAATTATCCTCGTTTCAACCAATTTAAATAAGTCTTGGAGCTCCCTAAAACATGTTTTTGAAGTTTCTTGCCAAAAATCCACTCTGATCCTGTATTTTATCATGCCTTTTTTCAGCACTGCTCAGAACAGGCTGTTTATGTGTGTGTAGCTTTAAATGCAAATGAGCTGTGTCTGACACGCCCCTCCAGTAAGGGCTTGGCTTGGGCCCCCTCGCTCTATTCCCTATTCCCCGTATTGTTTACAGTGAGAAGGCAGACTCAAGAGTGCAGAACAAACACCTAGTTGTGGGATTGTTGCCCACTTGGGGGAGGGGTTACTGCCCTTTGTGATGTCATGAAGGGAAAATCTGCGAACTTCATCTGTCCTGTTTAAGCAGACGTTTTCTAAAAAGTGGAGTAGGCACAAGATAGAGAGGATGGACTTTTCTCATAATTGGGGGGTTTGTGGACAGCCCAGGGGCTCATATGAGTGTTACAAAAACATGGTGAAGTGTATTTTGCAAAAATGTGACCTTTAAATTGAGATTAACAAATTCAATCCCTTAGCCTAAGGGACAAAAAGATGTGTGCAATGTTTTCTGTGGGGTCACAATTGCAGTTGGAAGATTTTTTTGATGGCAATTAATTGCACAGTGTATTCCAAATGCATATCATAACTGGACTAAATCAGGTTTATATTGTGTGTCATGTACAACCACTTGTGTTAGAGACCTAAGTATCGTTTCCAATCACATACATTCAACAGTTTTATAAATGATGTTTAAATAGAAGCACTAAGCTCTTACATCCAGCATGTTCTTCCAGCCGCTGGTTTTGCCGGTTAACAGAGGGTCTGGATGAGCAACGCCTGCGTTGTTAATGCACACGTCCACACCTTTGTGCTGAGATTTGATGGCAGAGAACATGGACACAATCTCCTCCTCGTTGCTCAAGTCACACTTGTAAGGCACAAAAACGCCGCTGTGTCCGGCACTTTGACACTCAGCTGCCAGTTTCTGAATTCAGAACGAAAAACAAGAGGTCACACATATCAGTTTTATGATTTACTCCGTGAAGAAGGTTTTACTTTCAATAAGTTAAATGTATACTCTCAGGGGGTTAACAAATTATACAGTTTTCTGTGCAGATCTTGTGTTTTATTTCATTAACTTTATTACCTTGATGGATCAGGGGAGGTTGTCCTTTAGATAAGATACCACTTTATTTATCCCAAAGGAATTAAACCCGAAGGTCCCTCTCTGTTATAAATGACTGACTGATGGGTGATGTATTATCTCATAAAAACCCATTGGTAGGTCTTTAGTTTCTGACTTAAAAGTTAGTTAGTAAACAGCACGGTTTGAGAAAGAAGAGAGATTACTTTTATGGGATTTGTATTTTTTACTTGGAAAAACAGAAGAGGCAGTTTCTTGTTTTGACATGTCTTGGGATTAAGCCAATGATAAGGAGAAACATAAACAACAAAAATGAGTTGTGCCAACCCTTCCTCTGTAACCTGGATAAGGCTGTGGACAGGAAGCACAGGGAGACTTTTGGTTTGCTTCAGGGACAAACTTGTTTGAGGCTACCAGCCCCTGTCACTGTAACTCGTCAGCAGGAAATAGCAAGCAGCAAGGAGAGTCCTGATTTATCCTCGAGGAGGTTGAACATTAATCATTACACACAAACTGTAAATTCCCGGTGCTCTTACAGATATCATTTATTTGTTTTGTTCTCGCTCTGCTGCAGTCCCCGACATCACTCAAACGCACCATCGACTCTCTCTCTCTCAGCTAAACAACAACATTCACAGAGACCCTTTACTGACAGTGTCCCATGCTGTTCCACATTTTACCTGAAGTGAGCTGCTTGAATTAAGTATAAAGTCCAAAACAAACCTGTAGTTTTTCGATGTCCCTGGCACAGCCCACCACCTTGGCTATAGCGGCACCAATCCCCACCGAGGCTCCGGTCACCAGAGCCACTCTGCCCCTCCAGCGGTCCATCACAACCGGTACACCTGTTACCTGAAAGAAACACGAAACTCTTCACAGTTTCATAAGAGGGGCAGCGAGGTTAGCAGTAGAGCCGAGCACGAGCTTTTGCAGTCAGATGCTCGTGAACACAGCAAGGTGGAGGCTGCAGCTCCGCCTCATGGATATGAAGGAGGTGGAGCCCTGTTTTGGTTTATTCCGGGTTATTCCCACGGAGGGGAGGATACTCAGTGGCACATGAAGCTGATAAAGTCAGGCGAATCTTTTGTCGTCTGTATATTAAATATAATCTATATTTGGAAGAATGGGAGTGCAACTCTTCTGAAACACCTCTGAAGCAGATAATACTGCCCCCCGCTGGTGAAAGTTCAACAAGACAAACATTTATTCTTTCTTATAAGCTCCTGTGAGAAGTTTTTAGCTGGCGACAGAAGGGACTGACATTCATATTGGTGCCTTATAAGCCCAAAAAGCCAACAAGATCAAACCAGGAAACTGTATTTAACATTCATGGGGACTTTACAGTTCTACCACTGTGCAGTTGCACTAAGAGACCTTTGGCTGGAGCCAAAGTGCACCAAACTGAATTCCTACATATTGTTGCTTTTAAAGGTTAGGTAGGCCTATGTCAATTATTTTATGCACCTTGTTATATTTGTTGAAATTCACTTCTCTTTGCCCAAAGCAGTCAATCAAATTAATACTCTCTAGAGAGAGAGAGAGAGAGGGAGCCTGTAAAATTCAGTCATATTGTTTCATTCAGACCACATAAAATGACTGGGCCTACCTTACAACCTGCTTTTTTTTTTTTTTCTGCACACGTCATTATGTCATGGTGCACAACAAACCATGAACTTTCATTCTTGCATCATTTGTACTTTGCTCCTTCTTTCTTCTACAGTTCTGTTTTTTTTATTTTATTGTGCTATTTCTCCTATTTCATTTTGGGATGTATAAATATTGTTTTCACCTTTTACTTAGAACAATTTTTGTTCATCTTTGCCACTATGGATGAATAAAGTAGTCCTAATATCACGTCTTATCCTATCATACCTTCATAGCGCAATGACATTTCCTGTTGTAATTTAACATAAAATAACTACTCATTAACGTATCCTGAAAAAATTAATTGTTTATTTCAAACTTAAATTACATATAAAATTCATAAAACATGATGGACAGAGAATGATTCACCACAGGTCAACCAGCTTGATAATTTCAACATCAAGCCTTTGTGATGGATGCTCTACATCTAAACTACTGTCATTTCATGTCTAAAGTTGAAAAGGCTAATTATTTCCAAAAGAAAAAAACGTCCGTTGTTTTTCAAGGGTCAACAGAAATGAGCCGTCACTGTGCTTTCCAGAAGTCTTCAAGAAAAGAATATACATAAGGGTACCATGTCTTATCATGTAGAGATTTACTGTTAAATTTTAATTGAATCATTGACTTCTCACACTTCACCAAGTAAGTAAGGGTCCTTCATTATCTTGTGGAGTCCAGGTTTCAGCAGTGTCTGCTGTGTATCAGTGGTCACTGAAATCAGGAGTCATAAAACAAAGCAGGCCATGTGGGCGTGTCATTGGTGGTCTTACCTGTGTTATAACAGGCTGGTTGAACTCAGTTGCATTTTCAGAAAGGTTCAATGCATGCAGACCGGGATAGACACAGTTCTTTAACAATGTGGCTTACATTTGTTTTTCTCTTGTTTGCCTCTCCCATCAAGATAATCACAGGGTCAGGTATGTTCTCCACAGAATGAATATCTGTTTGTGTAGACAGCATGAGTCAGTTTCAAAATATAAGATTTTGGTCAAATTATGGAAAAGGGGTTTGGGGGCTTGTTTTTCTTCTTGCTGTTTTTAGTTAAATAACGTATTCTAATTTGATTTTATAGATTGGTGCTACCAGTCTGAAGATGTGTGCAGTCACAAGTGCACCGGTAAACCTCGAGAAAAGCCCCTGACATTGACAATTAAAATGAAATATGAACAATTAAGTACTGGAGTTACTTTTTCATTCTCCTGCCTTAACAGGTCCAGATGTATGGGGAGCAGTTTCACGCCACTGCAGCGGGAGACATCAATCTCCGGTTAATATTGTAACAAGGAAAGTGCTGCCTGATGGACAACTCACTCCTTTTCACTTCATTGGCTATCAAGAAGCTTTTCATGGTCGCCTCATAAACAACGGACACACAGGTAAGTGTGGTTTGAACAAGAAGTTTAGCTTATTAATGGATTAACTTGAGCTGAACTACTGAGGTAATAGTAGTAGTATTTTCTTTGCTGAATTTTGAAAGAGTTAAATGTTTTGTAGTTCACCTGGATTTACCCTCCAGAATTAAGATTAAAGGAGGGAACCTGGCTGTACCATACAAAGCACTTCAAGTTCACCTGCATTGGGGCAATGATGGAGGTCCGGGGTCTGAACACACGATTGATGGAGAACAGTTTTCAATGGAGGTATGAAATATAAGGACATGTTTCAATAAAGAGCGAATGTCATTAAGACAATTGTGTTTGCATTATATTGAAAAAAAGTTTTTAAACATTTTTATTTCTCGTTATATCTACAGATGCATATTGTCCACATAAAAGAAGAGTACAGCTCTGTATCCCAGGCTTTAAGAGACCCCACAGGTGTCGCTGTTCTTGGGTTTTTCTTTCAGGTAATTTGATTTGTTTACCTGTAATATTAATTAATGGATCACTTTAATATGCTAGAGGTAATGTGCCACGTATAATTCTTATTTATTTAGTTATTGTTTGGTAAAACCTGAAGGTTATTCTTTACAACTGGATATGTATTGTTCCCGAGCAGCATTCTTCATACAGAAAGCTAAACGTTCCATGATTGCAAACATGTCATGTAAGAGGTCAGAATCCAAAGTTCATATGCATTTTTTTGTTACACTTGACCAATTTGCTACAGATGTTTGCACATTTTAAAGTTTTGTCATGACTGTGAGAAAAAAGCAGGATAAACCACTTGTGACAAAAAGAAGGGAGAGAAAATTTATAAGAATGATGTTATAATATAATATAATTAATTTGTACAGAAATGCATCAATAACAACCTGCATTTGTTTAAAAAAAAAACGTAAAAAATACAATGGTCCTAGAATTATGCCTTGAGGTACTAAAAAGAGTTTAACAAAGAACCATTGTAAGCATTATTCACCATCGTTTTAAAGAAAGGCAGTATCAGCGTCAGATTGAGAAAAACAATTAACAAGTGCCATTTTTCTTCTTTGATCAAAAATTACAGAGCGACAAATCTTGAACAAAGTAGCTTTTTACACGAAATGTATTTTACTGCATAAAATGTACGATGACTCTTCTGTCCTATTCCCAGTTTGTGATATAAAGCCTGGTGCCGTTTAAGCAATAGCAATTCTTTTAACTACATCTTCTTAAGTCTGTTGTCCAACTTGAACAAAAATGACATGTCATATTTTTTAGTGTTTTGAACATTTTTATCTTTGATTACAGGAGTCTGAGTTTGCTAATAAGATATTCGATCCCCTTGTAAATGCTCTGAAATATATCACCCGATCCAGTAAGTCACTTTTTTATGACCTACGAGCCTGATTTTCCAAAATATGGGATAAAGATAAAGTGCAACACTGATCAATTATGAGGAGATAGATACTGAAAATCAAAATATAAACTGATTTGAAGAATTAAGTGGTCAATGTGAAATTTAATGAATTGCTTATTAATAGATTTCTTATTGTCTTGTTAATATTTTTTTGAAACCAGGCAACAGCACAACACTAGGGGGCGTGTCACTGGATATGTTCATTCATCCTCAGATTGATATGACTAAGTACTATCGCTATTACGGCTCCCTCACCACACCTAACTGTGCTGAAGCTGTCATCTGGAGCCTGTTTGAAAACCCCATCCCTCTCAGCAGGAAGCAGGTAAGTACTTGAAAATACTGCATCATATGCCAAGTGGTAATACCAGCCAGTCCCTCTATGCAACTACAGATCAACATCCAGCTTGGTACAACCAAACTCTTGCCCACAAAGTCTGCCCTGAACCTAGGTGTCATTATTGATGACCAGCTAACATTCAATTTAACCTACCTGAAACAACACGGCACTCTTCTGTTCAGCTCCCTCCACTGGCTCCCAGTACCTGCTCGCATCAAATTCAAAACTCTGCTGCTCGCTTATTAAAAAATCGACAAATACTGCTCCACATAAACTTTCTCATCCAGGTCTACATTCCCTGCCGCCCACTACGCTCTGCCAATGAAAGGCCCCAAGTATTTAGCTAGACCCTTCTACTCTGTCGCCCCCCCAATGGTGGAACGAACTGCCAAGCTCCATTTGAGTCCATTTGCACCTTTAAGAAAAAAGCTAAAGACCCAGCTCTTTCATGAACACCTACACATTTCATGATATTGATGATGATGATTTTGATGATGACGATATTTAGGATGGTTTTCATGCTGATAAGGACTCTCAAGAACAGCTGTTGATGTTGTTGTTAATGGCGATATATTAACATTAATTATAAAAAACCTGTGCGTTCCACGGGCAGGAACCACACTTATACGTAGAGCTGTTTGTTTGCACTCAGTTTAACACTGACATCGACACTCCATTCTTATACAGGATGAATGTAGGCTTTGTCACTTTTTGATAGAATCAATCCCCTACTCACACTTATCACCTTTGCATTGATTTATCCATCATGGGGCTTCTTGAAAAGCCCTTGAAATCACCAAAACCATTTTTCAAATGTCATTATTGTCATTTGAAAATCATCATTGGTCCTTTTAAGTATGTGTTTTTGTTTTACACAACTGTGACATATTATCACTATAAAATTGATCCATGGAACATTTCAGCAAACAGTTACCCATTTACACATAAAGCAGACTCTGAAAAACTGTAGCATTCGTACTGTATGAAGTTGTGTTACTGACCACATGAATGAAGTCACTTGAGTCCAAACCACCTCCTGTCAGAGATATCTGACTCTTTAGCAGCTTAATGCTCCAACCAATAAAACATATAATGAATAAAGCTTCAAGTAAATACATCTCAAACACTGA